AGATTAGTACACTGAACTTTTATGTTGCTATATGAATCATTAATTTCATTACTGCGATCAATGCCCTTATCAGATATGTGCCCATCACATATGTTTATGTTGTAATTGTGTATCAAAATAGTGAGATGGTTATTTTAATCTTCTCCCTTTTTTCCCACTAAAAAGACTGTTTAATTCAACTGACTAGTTATTATGGTAAAATGGTCCAGCTCATCTTAGTCACTAGCATTATTGGGGATTCATAGCTCCTTCCCATTAGTAAAGATTCATCTGTGTGGACCAATGGAAAATGAGAGCAAGACATACAATATGCTGGGAATGTATGTAACAGTATTCAAAAACATTGCCTAATTGAATGAAAGTAATTTTATTTCCCTCATTGCTTTTACTTAACAGCCATATTTCATATTAATTACATTCTAGAAGAAGGAATGTTTATTTCTTTAAGTGTGAAATAGATTCAAATCTTTAGAGTCCTGAGGTTAGCCTTGTATTGATGAAGGTAGGTAACATGATGATAGGGTACCTTCACTGGGGCTGGTGGAGAGGCATAGCTAAATAATACATGTAGTCCAATTTCAACCATTTCAGTTTTCTAATTAAAAGTACACACCAGGACTTAGGGGGGAGGGGGGCAAGGGCAACATACGTGGCCTGGGCATCTGTACCCCCATAATATGCTGAAATAAAAAAAAAGTAACACACCAAATGTAATAGGCTTTTATTCAAAACCCTGGTATTCAAATGCACCTTTCAAATTTATCTGGGTAGAATTCTTAAGGTCTTATTTTCCATTCAATACAGTTATGTTGGATGCTTCTTATTAGTTATTGGGAATTTACCCAGAGTAATAGTTTGTGTTTACTTGTCTTATTTGTGATTTATAATGATAGCTTATTTTAAAAAGAAATCATTCTAATACACTGAAAGATTACATTGAACTAGTTTGTAATCACGTTCTTGTTTTGTGACCTTGGACACACATTATAACATCAAATTCAGTTTGTATACCTAAATAAAAAATAATAATAATACCATAATATTAAATGTAAGTTTAAAAAACCTTTTTAAGATGAACTGTCACATACTAACCTCGGGGACTAGTTATAGCAGCAATCCAGTGTGATCACCTGTTCTGTCCTTAATGTACTTTTTAACATGCCTTAAGAGTGCTATACCCCAGAAGTCCCACACTGCTGAGCAGATGGAGACCTCTCTTCCTCAGGGAGGATCTATTGGCATTCAAATTGTTAAGCATGATGAAGGGTCTCCATTACACATCTGTCTCCAAATTTAGCTTACCTGGATGGTTTTGCTTGTTTTTATCTTACAGATCCCCTATGCAGCAAGCTTGATCAGGAAAGAAAAGCTTGGCGCCCATCTCAGCAAAAGCTAAAAGGTGAGATCACCAGAGGAAAGAGATTTTTCTTACTCTCTGTATTGTTATTGCTTGGACGTATTACTTTTTGATGTGTTTGAAATAGCCCAAGGGATTGGTCAAATTGCATCCTGGGTTTGAGTTAATATACCAATGAACTTCCTTATGTCTTCATCCCCTTATGGGGATGAGACTTCCGAAATGAATGTCCAAGTGTTTCTTATAAATTCCATGGAAAATTCCTAAAACTAAGGAAATTCTCTATTCCGTATGTAGAAGTGATCTTCATTCTGCTTTAAGATCTTCTGCTCTTTATGGTTCTATCTGACACCCCGATTACTGGCCCTCTAAAGGAAACTGAAATGTCAGAGGTCATCCTCATGGTGTCTCATTTTCTCTGTCTCTCCTTTACTTCCAAAAATCTTCCCGAAATCTGACTTTCAGTGAATTACTACAGATCATGATATGAACAATTGGAGACAATACAGACCTTTGAGACCTTCTGCTCTAGGAATAGTAATTCATTCTTTCCCTAAACCAATAATAGTTTCTCTACAGCTGAAACCAAGTTCAAGATCATGTCCCTGGCAACCATTTAAAAGACAATTTTTCTATATTTTTAAGGAAAAGCAGACAGTGAAAATCCAATGTCTATATTCACAATGTACCTAAACATTTCAAAAGCAACTTTTTGATTCTATGGAAGAAGACATATGTAATTATTAGAATTGTGGAAATGCAAAAACTAGGACATAGTTGTTTCTGTAACAATATGGTGGGAATGACCTAACCATTGGAATTGCTAAATCAGGAAAAAACTCAGATTCCAGAGGCAGCATTTGTTAGTGCTCATGGCCAGCTAGGACTGTGGCCATGTATCAGTTTGATCCACTCCCATCAGAACGATTCTTCCTACTCCTTCCCTTTGGAACACATTTTCAACTTAATAGAATTTATTGGCAAAAAGAATTCCCTACCATGCAGGCTCATGGTTCTTTTTTTTCCTTCATACCTCTCTTCTGCGTATCACAAGTCTCCTCTACCATGTGCGGATGATAATCCTGCTTCTTGCCATCATCTTTATTAGTGGTAATCTTCAGTATTTGTCTCAAATAATGATAATTATGTCAAGTTTCATCATGCACTCAAAACCCTTCTGCAAACAGTCTCTCGTTCATGTGCTTTCCCTTAATTTTACCCATGGGGAACTGAGGTGTAGAGATAAGAGATGTGACATTTTGTGTCCCCATTGCAAAGCTAAGAAGAGATTCTAAGACTTCCAACTTTAGATCCAGTGCTCGCCTTTGCCTAATGAATGGACTTCTTGTTCCTGGAAAGCAGATGATTCTGCAACAGGGATGCTCAGATAGTAAGTCATACTGTTCCCATCCCCATGAAGTTATACATGAATTTGCCTGTGAGTTTGGCTCTGTTCTATATATTAAAGTATTTTTATTAAGTCTGAAGTTGGCTTTGGGAGATTTCTTTATCATTGTAGTAGACTGGATTTACACCAGCAGTGTTAAATGAAAATTTTATAATATTCAGATTCAGTAAATCTTAACTCAGAATATCAAGGTAATCAAGGCAGGAATTAATTCCCAATTAATTCTGATAATCTCCATATGTGTAATATGAAAATGTCAAACTAGTTCTCTTTCAAATCAAAGAGAAATGTTATTTTTAAAATAACCTTTTTATTGAAATACAACACAAATTCAGCCATGTCTATAAATCATAAAGTCATACAAACCAGGAAGTTTACAAATCAAAACTCTGTGAATTTTCACAAGATGAGCTCACTTAGGTTTGTAGCACCCAGTAACAGCCTCATGACCCTGTCCAGTTTCTCCCACCCCCAAACCCCAACAAAGGTTAATTTTGCCTGTTTCTGAGCTTTATGTAAGTGACATTGTATAGAATGTTCTCTCGTGTCTGGCTTGTTTTACTGAGCGTTTGTGAGATTCATCTATTAGCATGTGGTTTGATTTGTACTTAGGAACTTCAGTGAACTCTCTTTTTACTCCTTCTACTTCCCCAACCTGTCTTCCCTGCTTGTCAGACATGAGCCCATCTTGCACCTACAAAATGAAGACTCACTGCCCAGAGCCCATGCCTCTGAAAGTGACATAGCATACAGCTAGGTGGAAAAATAAAAAAAAGATTGATTTTTGTTTAGTAACTAATGCTTCCTCCATGCTGATTTTGTTTCCATCCTTGCGGACAACAGGGATTTCTCTAAGTAGACCCTGGTGCTTTCAGAAGATTAGTGGTTACTTAAATGCTTAGCTAAATCAGCCAAGCAGAGAATCACGACCATATTGTTAGAGGCAGTCTCTGATTCTCAACATGCCAGTCCTGTAAGGAGTTACCCCAAGAGAGGTTACAATATAAAAATCATTACACCAAGGGAGAGAGACAAATTCTGTCTTGCAGAGTGACCACAGGTTTCCAAATTAGGGATTGATGCATTAATGTCTTATGCAAGAGTGACCCTTAAGGTATTGTGCTGTGTTCTTGCCACCCAGTGGATTCCAATACGACTATTAAGAGGAGGAAGCTTTTCAAAACCACAGGCAATCCACTTAATAAGCCGAGCAAGGACTGCCACATATCACTGCTGTACAAATCTTTTTCACCCTACATTAGAACATAAGAAATGCCATGTCGAATCACAATAAAGGTTCACCCAGGCCAAGATACTGACTTCCATTAGAAGAGCCAAATTGTTGTTCTAAATAATATTAACTGCAAAATTTAGGCATATACACTGAATATTCTTAACTTTCCCTTGATAACTGCTTAAAGATCCATGACCCATGGATTTACCTAAACCTTTCTTCAACCGAGGCATAGTCCCCTTTGGGGCAATGAGCTCTATTTGTTTAGCTACCAGCTGTGTAAAGTGTATTTTGTTTATCTTCAAACTCCCCCCTAAAACAAGCTGTTAGATCAGACATTGCACTGCTCTGTGTATTTGCTTCATCATGAGCTTGTTAGTACAATCAAAGAGATTTGAAATATATTTCAAAATGTTGTGTGTATTATCCTTTCGTCTTGGCCCATTTTTAACACTGGAATTATTCCTGATGGCCCTCCTTACCTCTAGTTATTTCTGTGACCCAGTTACTGCACAGACACCCCAGTGTAATCTGTGTGAAATCTGTACCCCAAATAAAAATGGTATGGTGTTAACGCCAATTTAATTATTACTTTACATTCATTTTCTTTCAAGAACCTTTAAATGTTTTGCAAAGATCGTTCATGTTAACTGGTTGAAATACCCATGTCTTTCACAGAGAAGAATTAAATCATTTCACATAAGTAGGAAGTGAATCATGGGAAATGGCTCTTGCATACTCATGCAGAAACCCATCGACCAAGCTGGGAAGGATAATAACTATCATTTATTGAACACTAACTGTGCCAGATGGTGGACTAAATTCTTTGCTGCATTATCCTTGCGACTCTGTAAGGTGGATCCCAGTGTTATCTCCCATTGCATACTTGAGAACACTGAGGCTCAGGGAGGTCACTTAGCCATCAAGTGACAGAGCCACGTTTCAATCCAGGGCTATTTGACCCCTAATGCCACTTCCTTGAATTCCTTGGATCCTTGGGCTGGTGGTGAGGGATACTAAAACTGACACTACCTCCCAATGTTGTCTTGAGTAACATCATTTAATCTCTTCGAGTCTCACTCTTACCTATAAAATGTGGGCAACTAAACCCAATCAAAGTCTCTACCAGCTCTAAAATTTTGTCTGTCACTTTTGCATGCCAGTCTTCTCCCAGATTCTCTCTCCTTTCCCGCAAAGGGGCTGCTTTTATTAAAGCCAGCTCAAGACCACATGTAACACCCAAGGGCAAGACCCACCTTCTTTTGCCTGATGTCTACATTTTCTTGATCACTAACTGCTACTTTGCATCCTTCTGGAGAGTCTGAAAATATGATTTTTTCCTTTGTTAACAATATCTCCCTCTTTGGTAAACTCTCATAATTTGTGTGTCACTTCTGGAATAATTGCTATAAAAATAATAAGAAGAAAAAAGCCTTAAAAGAATGTTGAGGGATTGTAATTGAACACTCTGTGTCTTCTTTCGTATAGGTCAAAGATAAAGTGGGGGAATAGTATATCCATTTCTCTCATCTTAAGTCAGACATAGAGGTTCTTTCAAGAATCTCCACTGAGAATAGCCATGTGCCCCCACCGTTCTACTAATAAGCACTTCATGTCAATTAGCTTAATCTTCAGAACCATCCAGATAACTTCAGATAAGTATTGTTACTTTCACCACCTTGCAGCTGAGAAAGCTGAAGTGCAGAGAGATGAGTAAGTTGCCTGTGGTCTTACTGTAGAAAGTGGCAGGTCCTCTGGTCCATACTTCATCTGCTCTCCTCTGTTTTGTTACCTGAAATCATGGCCTAATTCACATCTTCTATTATCAGTTATAAATATGCAGTTAATAACCAATCTGATGGTTTCATTGATTTCGAATCACAAAACCTCCCCCCAGACTTCTACACTTGCCCTGACACCCCAAGACAAGAAAAATATTAAAATGTAACTTGGACCATCCAACCAAAGCCAGTGGGGCACCACCAGAGCATGAAATTCTGTCTTCCCCTTTCACTGCGGGTTGCCTTCATGTTCGCCCAACAACAAATCTGAGCTTCTAGAACCTGGCTAAATAGCTTTACTGTAAAGAAGGCACAGCAAACCAGCCCACTCTGATTTCATAGTTCTAGTTTGGCTCAATGTCATCAAAGATGTATAATCTAAGATAGCAGACAAACATATGTAAAAAGGAAGATGCTTTCATAGTCACTTTTTAAGAAATTTTATTCAAACTGTCCAAAAATGTCTTCTCTTAAGAGTATACTAAATATGACTTTAAATGTTTTTAAATTATCCGATGGCATGATGCTCAGCTTGTCATTCTGTGCTTTTATCTTATCCCAGGTGCACAGAACTACTTATTCGTGTTCTCTTGTAAGATACAGCCTGCCACTGAGC